AAAAGCACGCTGTCTCACCTGGCATCGTGCCCGACAGAGATAGTATCAGTGATGAGCATATCGACACTAGTATTCACGCACGTCTTGTTCGTACGGCGTTCCGAACCGTTAGGCCGGCTACGTACATACGGAATTCCGTTTCGTGATTCCGTTTCGGAATCCCGAATCGGGATTCCGTGAATACAACACACACATACGGTTTTTTTCCGTTCGGAATAAAAAAGGTCAGTTGAGAGACGTTGGCCATTGAGTGTAGACATTCTGCCAGCGAGTAATGACGACGATTTTCTAATTGCGATTCCATTATTGCTGTATCATTCTTACTAGGTGCATCCCCTTATCACCCTAAGCTTGCAATATAGTCAATATTATGTAAAAATATCTATCTATCCAGAGATATTTTTTAAATATTTATGTCTGTAAATTTTTTCAACGAATTATTAAATAAAATAAGATGAAAGGTTACGAAAAGCTATACACCTACAAGATTAAATGTAAAAACATACATAAACACACCTACTCGCTCCGGTCGTGTGACGAACACTGAGCGCGTTCCGTACGGAATTTACGTATGTGTGTTGCGACTCGTACAAAATCTATGGAAGACGTGCGTTCGGAGCGGCTTTTTTCCGTTCGGGATCTCGAATGCACAGGCGGTCATTCGGAATCTCGAATCGGAGAAATTCCGTACGCAAAAATAACGTACGTGTGTGGCGGGTCATAGATCTTATATGGACTTGCTGCGTTCGGAATCTCGAATCGGAATATCGAAACGGAATCCCGAAACGGAATTCCGGTATGTGGCCTTAGGCCGGTTTTCCGTTCGATATTTTGCGGGCAAAACGGGATTCCGTTTGTGTGTGGCCGACCGTTCGAATTCCGTAAGTATATGGCGGGCCTTACACGATGCAACATCTTATATTAATATAATAAAGCAGAAAAGTGTTTTTGTTTGTTTAAACGTGCTAATCTCTGGAACAACCAGTCCGATTTGAAAAATCTTTTTGAATATTATAGCCAGATTCATGTTAAATAGTATAGGCTATATATCTCAGCTAGCCTATATTTGTTAAGCAAGTCAGAAGAAAAAGCGCTCCCAAAATGATTTATCCGCGTACGCTGATCTTATGGTTCGGGATACGTAAATACAATGTTCTAGAAAAATATAGATCTTTACTCCGTTTAAAAAAAGTCCGCGATACCATATGTCTATTTCTTATATATAAGCCACAATTAGGCATTTTGTGACAAAAAGAATGAAAATTTAATTATTAGGCATGGCATATTTATCCTTACGAACGAAAGTTACTTCATTATCAAGACAATTTTATGAAGATAAAATTCGTTCTTTATACCATGTTTATATAGTACATAGTTTAAGAGATAATGTAAAATTAAAATAATTCAATACTTGGCTTGATGCGCAAACAACGCATAACCCCTAGCCCAGTGCGAGAAGCCAGTATTGACTATTCACAGAGTACATTTATATATACTGAAAAAAAATCTTTGGTAGCTCGTAACTTTTTAATAACATTTTATTTTACTATTCTGTTTCCGTACAGACAAATTTAATAATGAGACAAAACGATATCATGTTTAACTTTGGATGTACACTGCCAAACAGCGGAGTAAAACCCCTCCGAAATTTCTATGGAAATAATGTCGACTAGTGTCACCTTAACAATTTATATTGAAGTCGGTTGTACAAATTTTTAATTTTACCGCTTGCATTGACGCGGGATCATTATTTATTGTTCGTTTCTTGAGCGAGAAAATAGTCTATAGCTAAACGTGCGATAGCTAAAAGGTGGTGAACTTTTTAGGCTGTAGTGATCAAGGTTTAGCATTCAGTGCAGAGTTGTGCGGAATCATAAAGTACTTACAGTGGACCCCCGGTAATCCGATAAACATTTTGCAGGGCAGTGTCGGACTATCGAATTTGTCGGATTATAGAGTACTGCCTAAGACACCCTATAGTCCGGAATTTTTTATAAAAGAGTACCTTGTAATTCGACAAATTCCAGATCCAATAATAAGATTCTATATGTTATATATGTACTCTGAAGTACAAATTATACTTCATTATGTATGTCAAATAAATAGTAAATTAAACAACACAATAGGGAGCTTACATCTTTATATATAAAAATTACGTCAGTAGTGTAGTTGTACCACTTCTAGACCACCTGAGTCAGACGTGGTTCAACGACGTTCGTCGACGCCCAATCCTAAAAAAAAAAAAAAAAAGTTTTGGCATGCTCTGATCACGAATCCGCGGTCCATTTTTGTGTAGAATGCACGGTTCCGGAGATGTGTAGATCAATTAGCTAATATCTAATTGATATCCGGTAAGGGCCTCCACCGTCATTAGCGTCCCATTGTTCCTATTTCTATTGTTCTATTGTTCATTAATCACCTTCATTGCAGCGTGTGCGTCGACTATATCAGTGCTATTGTTTATTATAATTCTTTGTTTATACAACGCTAATCTGAATCATCAATAAAACACATTACATAATTTTGTTACAATTTTTATTTATAAAATACAAAATCTTATTAATTATTATCTATAAAATAGGAGCGAAACATCTCATCCACTAAAATATCGTTGTACAATGTGTTCCTTGTAAATATACTCGTAAAACTATGTATTGAACATCCTTGAAACTTATATAGCAAATACATTAAGCAATATTCGCCACAAACTGAAGTCCACTCATTCTGAATCCTATCAACATTCCAGTTCCATCTTTTACAATTCCTTTTTAAAAACTCTAGATGATATCGTACAGGTGATCGTCCATATGAATCAAAATATTGACCGACGTCATTCGTATCGATATATAAAGCTACCCAATGTGACCCTGGTTTATCATCTGTATCCAAATTACATATTATATACGTTGGTACGTGGGTATACATAGGCAGTCTATTAGCTGCATAAACATTATTTTCTAGACTGGGGTGAATCTTTTTCAGATGTTGTTGTACATCTAGTGTATCCATGATATTACTGCTATTAGTAGATTATTACAGTACCTAGCTACTCAATGAATAACATAGGAATGGTCAATTATAGTGATTTCTACATATTAAATTGCATTTTTGTGATATACAAATCGTACTTGAGTCATTGATCACCAAACAAAACACAATACGAAGAAATGTTGAGATAGGCAACGGAAATGTGAGATAAACTGATATGTTTCTAAATATTAAATTGCATTTTTGTGTTATACAAATCGTACTTGAGTCATTGATCACCAAACAAAACACAATACGAAGAAATGTTGAGATAGGCAACGGAAATGTGAGATAAACTGGTTGACGCATAAAGTAATTATCAACTCATTACGGAAATACTTTAGATTAGAATTTTTACGTACTGGTGGTATATAAGACCAACAAACGCAGTCATCGAGTTAGTGTACGGTCGTTTGGCTACAGTGGATCTATCAATAGTACATTTGTGTTACTTCAATACACCAAAGGCTATGGATGTAAGTGTTTATTCTATTGACTAAATTACTTTTTTTCTGTTATTTTCATGTGTGTGTATTATTTTATTTAAATATTGTGTATGTATATGATTAAGCCGTGGTAACTCAGATGGTTAGCGCTAGCTGTAAATTTCACAGTACGCGACCCGGGTTCGATCCCCGCCAGCACCAATTAAATTGTTAATAGCAATTTTAAGTGCTTATTACCACGTGCTTGGTGGTGAAGGAAAACATCGTGAGGAAACCTGCATGTCTGAGAAAATTTCGAAGGCATGTGAAGTTCGCCAACACACATTGAGGGAGCGCGGCGGACATTTCCTTGCTCTAAAACCCTCTCAGAAATGAGAGGAGGCCTATGTTCAGCAGTGGACTTTAATAGGCTGTAACTTTAACTTTTTTAACTTTTATGATTAAGTGTTAACAAATTGATATTAACATGATAACTGTGTTGTTGCAGAAATCATTGAGCTTCGATGAAGATACCTATAAACAGTATTACTACTCGCCACTCTCCCCTCAAGAAGAGAGTGATGACCTCGTCATTAATAATAACACATGCGATGGTGGAAAAAGAAAATCGCAATCGATTGATCATTTTTTTGAAGCTGAATCAAAAATAAAAAAGAGGAAGCTGTTATCATCAACCGTAGCACGAGCCGCTAGAGATGGTGTATCATACATTTCTACTAATTCTGACGACGGAGACCAAGCGACGCATCTCATCAAAATTGAAATGTACGATATGAAGAAGCTATCCAAGATTCCAACTACTGATCATTGGAAACATGCTTCCACTAGAATTAAATATTACGTAAAGACTAATAAGGATAGCATCTACGACAACACAAACGCCCTCGTATACAATATAACAAAGACAATAGCAGAAAGTGAAAAAGTTAAAAAATACTTTTTTAACAATGACAGTCATTAGCTGATCATTAGTGAATGTGATTCTATTTACTTCAATTACAGGAAGACAAGAGCGGAAGGAAGAGATGAGTGTGGCATACGTGTACAAAACACATCATTGAATAACAAAACTACAACACTGAGTGGAGAAGAAAACGAGAAGAGTATGCAGTACTCAAGAGCTGAATATCCATTCTTCAGTTCAAAATCTAGCCGTTTGCTTAGTTTCGAAAACTGGCCTCTAGTTATGCGACAGAAACCTGAAGATCTTGCAGAAGCTGGTTTCTTTTATACTGGCCATGCAGACGGGACCAAGTGTTTCCATTGTGGTGGTGGTTTAAAAGATTGGGAAGATGATGATGATCCTTGGCAGCAGCATGTTCAGTGGTTTAGTCAGTGTGCTTATGTAAAATTTCAACTCGAACAGTGTTTTGTATTAGATTAAATAGAAGATTTATAAAGAAATAAAAAAAAATATATTGCATACAATTTGTTTTATTTAATTTTATAACGTTTCACATAGTTACATACACACAAAATGCATTACACATAACACATAAAATCTAACACACAACACATATTATAACCTTAACTACTATAGTCTACAGTAACATTTCTGTTTTTATCTATCTCAATAATATTATCAAACTCAGCATAAACTATACAGTTAATTGTTTGTATTAATGAGGATTCAAATCGTACTTCTATTCTTACACTACCATGCTTTATGAGATTCCAATGAGTTGATGAGTTAGCTGATAAATCAGGAGTTAAGTCAAATGCTAATAGACAGTAACCTTTGCCATACTGTTCACAAGAGATTCCATTTCCTTCATTAAGAAAGTGAATACCAGTTCCCGAGAATAGAGTATGATATGCTGATGTAAATATGCTATTATTAAAAGATGGTTGCAAAGCTTTTGAAGGTATTTGTTGACCATCAATATATAAGCTGAAAGAATTAATACCATAGTTTTCAAAGTTAAATGGATTTTTAGTAAGGGAACCATTAAATGCAGAATTGTTCACAAATCCAATTATACATCTTTTCGGTACCTGTCCTAAAAATATATTATCAAGAGTTTTTCCTTGAACACCCGAAGGAATTGTTAAAACTTTTACTTCAGCTCGAGTAATAGGATATTTAGCAGTGGTAGAAGCTAAAACTTTTTGATGTGCGAGTAATACACTTGGATTAATTCGTGCTCGTCGCACAATAAGAGTTGCGTCCGTAATGCAAACTTTAAACTTTACATCGTTCGACCCAACAATTAAATTAAAACTCTCTCTTGATCGAACCAATTTAACACTCATTTCAACACCATTAATTAAAAATTTATCTTGGTTAAAAATGTCACCGTGAAGATGACCAATCATTTCTATTTCCTTACTTTCACTAATCAATTCCTGTCTTTTAACAAATCCTATGTTTTTACCATCTGTAGAATCCATTTTTCCTGCTGTATCCTCATACCAAAGACTACAAGTAAGATGAGATTGTTTAGCAGCAGGGGCATAGTTTAAAAGGGTTTCCATGTATGCTCGATATGCATAGGTATTATTAGGTGGTGATACAAGTTTTTGGTTTAAATAAACATCAAGTTGACTAAAAAGTGAATGCAGCCAATTATTTACAGGTGCTACTATTGTAGTAGATACCAAGTTAGTTGAATCTTGATTTAATACTTTTGCCTTTATGTGGAGTAATGTATGAGACAAATCTATGTAGTCATCGCCGGTCCCAGGAACTTGAAACTCGATAGGTCCATCATCACCAAGAGATGAAATTGGTTTATAATGAATCCACAATCCATTTTCAATGCTAGTTTGTGTAGACGGTAGTGCAAACAAATCCAATTCTGACTTAACGCACTCGCAAGAATGATTATGAAGGAAAGACATATTTAGTTTGAAAATATATCTTTGATATTTTTTGGTTTTAGACTAAGTTTTTTCGCAGCTTTCACTTTAGCAGTTAATGGTGGAATGAACGATGTCAATCGTTTTCTTTTAGTTTTATACCCAGATCCAGTCATGTTAAATTGATCAATTTTCTCATCAGCCTTTCGTTTTAAATTCGTACTAACTTGCTTTAGACGATCTTTTATTGAGGCTTCCATAGGACGGGCTTGAACCATATCCGATAAAAGTCCTACTCCAGCGCTTAATGCCTCCTTACCAATCACTCGAGCACCACTTGAAAGTAAAGGTAAAACTGATCTGAATAACCCCCCTAAGAAGCTCCCAATACCATGACCGCGTTGATATGGTGAACCCTTATAAATTACTCCAACTCCTGATCCAGCTTGATGTGTATAATAATTTTCATATGGACATTTATGATGATCACGAAGAGAATTCATTATTATAATTTTCGGAAATGTAGTTTAATACACACGGTTCCAAACTGGAATGGTATTTTTTGTCCTGTACTCGATCTTATAACTATTTCCAACGTATCGAACTCTCTTCGCATAACAGGTAAGTAGTGAGGTTGAGAGAAAACGTGCATTTTATTTGCACCATAAATGTATTTTGTAGGATCTAATGAAATGACTCTTAATAAAGGAGTCATAACATCACCCACAATCTGAGGATCGATAATATCGCAATATAGAAATAGTTGAGATGGTAACCCTAAGTGTAAATTAGCAGGACACTTTCCAAAATTTCTCTCTAGGAGATTTTTATTTGGTTCATAACCTAGCTGTAAACTTAATTTGGGTGATAATGTTACGGATGTTATATTTTTATCCAATACCGAAATAGACACAAATTTTGTTATTTCATCATAGCGAAATTTCAAGTTCTCTCCGATACCATTTAACACTCTTAAAATATGCTCAACGTTATCATAGTTGGTAGCTGGAATATGTTTTTTGTAGTACACTGTGGATGGCTTATCTTCATTAGGCATTAACATAGATTTTGTAATGTATATAACATTTTCATGGTCTTGAACAGTAAACATGGTACATGGATATTGAAACTCGACAACTCCAACCGACCATTCACCTTCTAATTTTATAGCTTTTGGTAATTTCGTTGAAAAATTTGTGGTCTTGTTATCAGGAAAGTATTCCATTGAACTATTGCTGAGCAAAGTTAAATAGAAACTTTCTTTATTCATATTTCTTTTAAACTAGAAGCTAAAATCCAACTGTTAAATTTATCTGGATAACCTTTCCACTTCACTAATACTTCTTTTCTGTTACCTGAATAACGAGTGTCAATTATTTTATCTATTTTATGTTGTGAGGTGGGGTTGTAAGTGATTTTCTGTAATTCTCTTTCATAAAAAGTACCAATTATTGGTTCATTTTGTAAATCTGTTATTGTATAAACAACCCATGGAGATCTATCAATTATTGAAGATATAATAAATATTTCATCACTCCAATTTGATTCATATCCTTTTTGGAATACATGTTTATATTTAGTTATTCGAACATAATCACCCACATTGAAATTTGGTTTAGGATTTTCTAAAGAAAGTTTTTTTGACCGTCTGTCATAAAGATTAGTCCAAACTGTCATAATATTGTTGGAATTTACATCACATGGGCACATCTTAATACTAGAGTGAAAGCTGTGATTATAAGAGTATATTAAATCTTGTAAAACATCTATATATCTATAAGTATTATTATGAGTGAAATAACGCCACATTTTCATTTTTAGTGTTCTTTGAAATCGTTCAACAATACTGGCCTTAATGTCAGGATTGTTAGTGGTATAGTAATTAATCTTTTTGGATTTAAAGTATTTTTGTACATCTTTTGAAACAAATTCTGTACCTTTATCGGATTGTATGTGAGTAGGTGTTAAATTACTTTCAGTAAATATACTTTCAAAACATTCTTTAGTTGTTTCTGAGTTTTTCTTTTTCATTGGTCTTGCAAAAGCATATTTACTAAATACATCAATAATACAAAGTATATACTTGAAACCATCATTATATTGAGAATAAGTTCGCATATCACTTAAATCAGCTTGCCACAGTTCATTAATATTTGATAGAATGTACCTATTACGCGGGAATTTTTTTCGAATGGGTTTATGTAATGTGTATGTTTCTTGTGATTTTAACCATTCCTTTACTTGCTTTTTATTCATTTTACCCTTCATGGCTTTTGATAATTTATCAATACTACCAAAACCAGCGGGATTAGATGGATCATAATAAATCCTGTTAATTTCTTCTAGTACGGAGTCCATTTTTCCCACTCAAGTCCTTTACGTATTTTAGTTGTAGACTTTTTATCTCTACTGCACGGTGTAGAAAACTCTTGAACTTCAATCTCAGAGGGTTTGTTCAGATCTTTTGCTTGAAGTTGGTTAATAAACTCACATCTCCTTGGATTTCCAATATAAGTAAGTGGTACTTTAATATCTTTTAATGCTTCAGCAAATCTAACCCACCCTACCGGATCACTTCTTTTTAGGGGTCTTAGTGAATCATTTATTAAATCAACAATATTACTTCCAGGAATTTTTTCACTATCAATTATGACTGTACCTTCGTTATCCCAATGTATTTTACTTTTACTTGTTTCAACTAAGTTTAATAATAACTGCCCTTTTTTATGATAAGTTTTTGGTATTAAACTGTGTATTTGAGTTGGTGTGTAAAGTGGATTTTCATCATTTTCTTTACTTTTAATGGATCGATTCTCCTCCAGCAAAGATTCAATATCAACTGAAGTTTTTAGATCTCTATCTTTATTTTTAAAACCAATTTTTGACTCATTTGAATCTTCATTAGATGTATCAGAATAAATTGGTAATTTGAGTGGTTGACGATCCTCTTCGGTAAAATGAAGGTATCTTTGCAGTGTTTGTAAATATAATATCCATTTCTTTCGGTCTTCCGTCTTACTATTCATAATATTTTGCATTTCAATATCTAATCGAGATAAATTACTATTAACCTTATTTTCTTGTTTTAATTTTTCAATCAATCCAGGTTCGATAAGTATCATTTTCTTTGCATTTTCCATGTTAACTGGCTAGTCCACTCACTAATCCACTCAATATTGCACCTAATATTGTTGGTAAGAAAGCCCCTCCTTTTTGTATAATTATATTTTTTCTTAGTTTATGTTTACACTTACGTACTAGTTTACGGAGTATGTTTTTATGTTTATTCAATTTTTGTTTATCCTGATCTTTAAGAGGTACTTTTCCTTGTAAAACGTTATGAATACACTCACAAATACAGTTAATTTCTTCTTCATCACACGTTTTAAGTAATGCTCTTTGATATTTTGGTTTAAGCGTATGCAATGCGGTTAGCAAATGTTTATACGTTGTGAGTCGACGATGCATCATTTAGCAATGATTTCAATTGTTTGATTCTTGGTGTATTTAAACTCTTTTGTGGGGACGTAGACTGTACAGAAACCATTAAATGGAAAGACATTTGTCTTGATACGACAAAAATCATTGGTATTCTGTTTTAAATCTACCATTAAATATCCATGCGCCTCTAGAGTTGCATCCCTGTAGGCATTTTCAATGAATTTTGGGTTATCTGGTGATACTTGTCTTGCTAAAAATCTTATTTGAGTTTTATCTCGAGGGTTTTTAAAATATATTATATAACTTGAGTTTAAAGATATGTCTCTTTGTCCTTTACCCTGATGAAATAAATTTTGTGTTAGATAAAATACACTAAGATTCCTGTGATGACTACCTTTTGTAAATATATCCACAATTCTTCCATCGGACTCTCTCATTAGATCATCAATAATAACAAGATGTGGGTTTTCACCATCAAACATATTAAGATTTGGAATTCCTTGATGATAGTTAACATTTGGTAAATTATATAATGGTTGCATTTCATCAAAGCACCATGTGATCTGATTAAAATCACAATTACATATTTCTGTAACTGATTTTATGAAATTTGTTACAAAATTTGACTTCCCACACCCACTTGGTCCTGCCACAATAGCAGTGAACGGATGGATAAAGTGAAACATAACACACGTCTAAAGTTCAAAGGGGTGAAATAAAAAATGAAAGTGTTGGTGTAAACAATTAATATATATTCCAAAAATTATATAAAACAGAATTATCTGTATACTATTTCTAACACAATTAGTACATCATAATTTTACAATTAACTCAACCTCAAATAAATAGAAACAACAATTAGTACATCATAATTTTACAATTAACTCAACCTCAAATAAATAGAAACAACAATTAGTACATCATAATTTTACAATTAACTCAACCTCAAATAAATAGAAACAACAATTAACTTAAATTATTTACAATAAAACAATGTTTAAATATGTAATAAACTACGTCATATTATAGTATTATCATAATTTTACAATCAATATAAATTTTTCTTAAACGCAGACATAAAAGTAAAAACTATCAACACTTAACGCAGTTTATAATGACCCCAAGCTAATGTTTCAATATTATTATCTAAAATATGTCTCTTTGTGTCATTATATGATAGACCTATCTTATTTAATTTTTGTGTGAAAATTGTGTGTTTAATTGATTTAAATCTAAGCATACTATAATATTGCACTTTTTTATTAAATAGAGAAGACTTATAACTATTCATTGTCATCTTTTTAGTGATACATTTATTTACCCCTTTTGCCTTGGCTATAGTCTTATTCTCTAAGTTAAAAGCGTACATTTTGGATCGTAAACCCACAAATTCTTTCATGATTTTACCATTATTTTCATCTTTAAAAAAACCTAATTTCTTTTTATTTAATTTTGGATATTCAAAAATATTATTTGTATCATAATCTGAGGTATCAAAGTATGATGAAAGGTCAGGTTTTATATCAGTGTAAAAATCATTTGTAAATATATGATATATTAAACTATCCGTATCTGTATACAATAATTTGATTTTACTAAAC